ATAATTTGAGCCCAGAGAAGAAACCAAACAGAAACTTACCTGCACATTTGATCTTCAGCAGATATTACATTTCAGTTAGCACATCAGGGATCATATAACATGGCAGACGTTATTTTGCTGCTTCCCCCAGCACGCTGGTAAAACACCATTTCATTCCTCTTTGTGCTCCCCTCCTACCCATGAATGTACAAACATCCAGACATAGTTGTACAGATACTGGAAAACACAAACACACAAAGCAGGGGGCACTGCCCACCAATTTCTGCACCAGGGAAGAAAACACTCCTTTCTCCCCTGCTCTACTTTCAGTAGGAATTCATCCTTTGAATGGTAACTCTCCTAAATTTGGTTTGTGTACCTACAGGAGGTTGGTCCTCAGCCTCTGAGAAACAGTCACTGCTTTCCTTTGCACCTGTCTTTTGCATCATTTCACGTAAGGCAAAAACCCAGCTTCTCCTGTTTTCATGTCCTGAGTGTGTGGGTTTGTAACCAGGAAGACTGTTCCCCAGGCTTTCTCTGATCAGGGGTTGCAGGGTGTCCGACTTGAGTCAGCTGGCTAGCAGTGATGAGTGGCATGCTGTGCAACCACATCAACTCTCAGGGGGGTTGTATTAATAAGGGGTTCCAATCTGTCGGAGCTCTTTCCTTTATTGCCTTGTTTGTGCTGGGAAAACCTCTATCCCAACAGGACCTTCCCAGGAACACAGATTAGTGGATCCATGATTTAGATGTCTTACTTCCGTGGAAGATAGGAGATTTTTTATAACCACTGTTACAACAAAGTCTTTGCTTACTTAAGCTATCTCTGGGATTAGGTATAGACTTTGAGAGGGCTCTATCTTTTGCACCCAATTGGGGATGCCACTTGCTTTCAAAGTTAAGCCATAAAAGGCTGATTTGTTTTAATACATAAAAAGACATATTGGTTTGGAGTCATATTGAAATAGTTTGCTTTTGAAGATTACAACTTTTGTCTTTGAGAGTATTTTAGAGTTCTTATCCTAAGTAAATGTCTTCTTAGTATTCCTGGGAACATCAGATGGGTGGGGGAGAAAAAGATGGGGAGAATGCCTTGACTGATCTGAGAAAAAAATCAATGCCTTTAACAAGATCAGGAAGTAGAGATGAGATTTAGAACAAAATTTGAGAAATACAAAAGGCCCTCAAATAGGAATGAGTTCATTATACACTGAGAACAGGAACGCACTTTGGCAAAGGTCTAAAAATGCACAGGCCTTCTCTTGCTAAGTCCTTTTTGGATTTATTTTGGTTCCCATTAAAAAGAAATCACTTGAGGGCCTTCCTGGTGGCGCAAGGGGTTAAGCATCAGCACAGTGAAGCAATCTGCAGCTACTACAGGAGTTCGATCCCCAGCCGGGGAGGTGACCCACATGGCACAGCAGACTTTTCCTGTCTCACCCACTGCCCCCTCAGCAGTATATTTTAGTCAATCTGACTGTTCTGCTCTCCACTCTGTCTCTGGTGAATCCTCTCACCTCCCAGCATCTCTAGCCTATTCCCCAGTTCTTGTGTGCATAAATAAATCTTTAAAAAAAGAAAAAAGAAAAAAAAATCACTGGACTGAACTGCAAATAAGAATAAAAGGGAATGCAAATAGTAATTACCCTAGAATTTTGATAATAGGCAAATATGCCCTGAATTCCTTTAGAGAAAACCTACATCCTTTCTCAGTTCCTTGGAGATGTAAATTTTATCATGTTTTTGCAATGTAGACATATAAGAAGACAATTCTTGGCTAAAGCAACTCTTGAGACTGAGTGGGAAATAAAGGAAAAAGTTTTGTTTTGGTTTACTTTTTAAATAAACTGCTGTGACTGTTCTCTTGCCGAAAAGTCAGTTCACAGCCTCCACAAGACAGCCTTTCAAGGGCAAATACAAACTTTATAGCTCTTCAGGAAGATTAGCAAAAAGCTTTAGCTAAGTGGATAAACCACTTTTTTCATCTGTCAGAAACACAACCTATATTGAACTGGTTTTTAATGAATCTCCTATTATTGGACCTGATGCATGGTCATTTTTTGAATGAAAGCTTTAAGTTCTCTGTCGACCAGATATGTTGAAGTATGCATATGGATGTATGTTAAATGTGGTATGTTTCTACCTCAGAATGGTCTTATTAAAGCCGAACTTGCAAAAGAGATCTATTAAATGGGCTTAGAGATGAAAGTGCTTATTAAAGACTAGTCAAACAAGCTTGTGTTATCTCTACCGGATGTTTAAGAGTATTGAAAAAGTATCTCAGAGATGAGTAATGTCACCTTCTGTTTACTGTGGATGACAGAGGTGATGGTATGAAGAGAGGAATAAAGTGGTATGAGGTCAGTGGTATGAAGAAGAGAGGAATCAAAGTCCAGATTTCAGACAAGTCATCTGATGACTAAGAATGAAATTAAGGGTTGGAATAAAAGGAAAAAAAGATTCAATTGCTCAAAGTGTCAAAGAAGGTACAAGTGAGTCTTAGAGGGTAGTCTATGAGGGTGAGGAGGATTTGTAGTGAGCTACAGAATGTATCAAATGAATATTTGATATGATGACTAAAGGGTTAGCTGTGCTAGTGGTGAACAAGAACCACAACAGCCCTTATTATTCCCTTACTCTTCTGTTGCTAAAATGGGAAAAACTAAGAAATATCCCACCGGCAATAAGAAAAGGAGTCAGGGGCATCTGTTTGATTGGGCGAGGCAGAAGCTTTGCTGCTGCCCAGGAGAAGAAAGATCTAAATTAAAGGAAGGAGGTGAGGATAAATGGGAGTTGTAACCCATAAACAACAGTGGTTTTCAGTTCACCACTGAAGAATACAAGGCTTGGGGAGGAATAGAAAATGGCCTGGTGGAAGTTTTCCTGAATAGTCAGCATAAGGAATATGACTCAAGAAAACAAGATTTGGAGGTCAGATCAGTGAAACAGGAAAGCGAGAAACACTAAGTGAATGGAGGACACCTGGAGGATGGGAGCAAACACACAAGCAAACAAGATACAATCCAGTTTTCCATGTAATGTTGAAGTGACACAACCTCAGGGGCAGGAACTAAACGGCTGAATAGGAGGCTGGTTGCTGTGTTTCCAGAGTTGCAACCACAGCTTTCAGAGATCATTCAGAGAACAAGGAACATTTGTGATGGTACAGGCAAGAACAAAAATAAACCCACAATAAAAATTGAGGATAGTTGAAGCAAGGAGTCATGGTCAAAGTAAATTCCCATTTTAATAAAGACAGTTAAGACAAGCCCCAATGCCAGTGTGACCGTCATAAATAAAGCTCTGTATTTTATTTTATTTTTTTTAAGATTTATTTATTAATACAAGCACTGGGTACAGTCAGAAGCGCAGGTGACAGAATCCACCAGAGCCAGAGCGGGGAGCAGAACAGGCAGAAGGACCGAAGGACACTGCTGAGGGGAGCAGCGGGCAGCAGGAGAGGTCTGTGCGCCATGTGGGACCCTCCTCCGGTGGCCGGGGAGCAGACGGGGATCCAGCAGGTGCTGCAGAGGCTGCGGGCAGCTTCGCAACCCAGTGCTCAACCGCTGCGCCACTGGGGAGGCCCAAAGCTCTGTATTTTAATGAAATCCCTTTTTTAATATGGAGAAAGAAAAAAGTAGAATTTTATGATTTAGTCAGAAAGTTACACAGGATATTTATTGTTGAGGATTTCTGAAATCAGATGCTTTTAAGTCTCTACGCTAATCAAAATCAACCCCTTATATAATACTATTACACCAACCAAACTGACACAATAATTCCTCTCAGAAGGTAATAACAGTCTGTAAAATATAACAGATTGCAACCAACTGGCAAAGAACAAACAAAAAAACTAAAGAGCTTGAATCTTCATAATAATTTATATAATTCTGTTTAACTTAATAAATAAAAAAATTGACTTTGGATAAGGCATTGCTTTATCATTTCTCAGAGAATAAGGCACACGATCACTAGCATTTCAAATCACAAATCTGAAGACAGCAGATGGTCAGATGCTACGAAAAAAAAGCAGGTACCTCCGGGCCACTGATTTTTATATCAAAGTAACATTAAACTGCACACATGTAAAGTTTATAGCAGCAAAGTTCTTCTCTAACAAAGGTTACTCATTTTAACAGAAAATCAACCTCAAAGAACAAAGGAAAAAAGCAAATTACCTAAAACTGTTCTATTTTGAAAAAAGTTTGTCTCCAAGTACTAAGCAGATTTTTAAAACTGATTTGGCTGGCATAACACTTCAGGATAGTGTACAAACCGACAGCAACTAGAACCATTTTAATGGCACATTCAGCAGTTTACATTTAAAGTGACATTCCTGGTAAGGCCTTTTTGTGTGAATGCATTCATGGTTATCTTGGTATGACCAAGTATCAACATTTTGTTAATGCTAAATTTTAACACATATTTGGTTAAATTTCATTGTTTTGCAACTGTTAAAACCCTAGTACATGAGACTCTTGGACAAGATATTGAAAAAAAATAATATTTCAATGAGCTGTCACTGTAGCTAACAAATCACAACAATTATTTCCTAAAGTGATTTCTAAGACAATAAACTAGATCTAATGCTACTGTCTTTTATGAATATTATGATTTTTCACAAGTGCTCTGAAGCAGATTCTGTCAGTAATCACAACTCACTAAAGCATTTTGCAAATTAAATTTTAGTCAGGATCAACATATAACAATTGAATGTTAGTATTCACTGTATCTCTGACTCAAGACCTCCTTTATTTTGGCATTTTCACTATTTCAATATCTAAAGAAAATATGAATCCAAATATGGTAATCTTCCACAAACTAGTCACCTTAAAATTTGGTTCCTTTCAGTCGGGAAGTGGGTGCCTTAAAGTTGTAATTCCAGAAAACTTAGATATTAATCTAATAATTATCAGTAGGGCCAGAGAAAGAAAACAACAAATGTATAGCACAGCACAGGTGAAGGCCTAATACTGCACTAGAGCATTACACAACAGAAGAATTATAACAAACAATTTAAAAAACTGTACATGCCTCCTGAGCGAGAGGATTCAGGAATTATAATTACTATAAGTTCCAAGTTTTTTTTTTTTTAGTAAAGTGAGTGTCAGCAACCCTTAATTATCATTGTCTGAAGCATCTGCTTCTCTTAAGTCACATGGTTACCTCAGACATCGATAAGAATCCCATGTTTTGAAGACATCATTTGTCTGGTCCCTGTTAAATACATAACAAATGAACAGATGTGAGGTAAAGATGAAGTCATGGTTACATAAAGCCAGAATGGCAAAGGAGAGGTTTTTCCAAAGGGACAGATCCACAAGCCATGACGAATTCCATCTCGGATATGGTGTGAGGTCCAGGATATAAATAACATCCAGGGGAGAAAGCACCATGAGTCTTTGAGCTTGAGCAGGTGCATAGTGAACTTCAGGGTCAGAGCCACAACGGGTATCACTGTAGAACAGTGAAGGAAAGGTCTTCGGGGAAGAGTCAAGGCGGCCTGAGGAGGGAAGAGAAGCTCGCATCACTTCTCAGCAAAAACAAAATTTTATGGATAGTTCTTAACATTGTAAAATAGTTTCCAGTAGTCTGTTGGGAGTGCAAGGGAAGTATATTCTGTGCCACCTCCAAACGCATGCATTAAATCTTTGGGTATCAGGGCCTCCCCGGTGGCGCAGTGGTTGAGCGCTGGGTTGCAAAGTTGCCCGCAGCCTCTGCAGCGCTGGTTCGATCCCCAGCTGCCTGGCGAGGGTCCCACATGGCGCGCAGACCTCTCCTACCACCCACTGCTCCCCTCAGCAGTATACTTTGTCACTCTGCCTGTTCTACTCCCCTCTGGCTCTGGTGAATTCTCTCACCCTCCCGCGCTTCTGACTGTACCCAGTGCTTGTATAAATAAATAAATAAATCTTTAAAAAAAATCTTTTCGGTATCAGGCAAGAAGATAAAAAAGTAGGATATTCTCTGCATTAAGTGAAATCAAAGCCTCAAGTATTATTCCATGTTGCTCTCATCTTTGTTTTATGACCTACACCCACAATACATGATCTTCTAAGCAGCAGAGTGGGGTGAGGGGGCCTATGCTCATCTCTGCTTGGAAGGAGCACTAGCCTGGTGTGGAGGTGATCACCAGTTATGCCCTGGATCTGACTGAGAGTTATGGATTCTTCACGCTTTTATCTGTGGTGTCTATTTATATGAATAGATGCTAAAGAAGACACAAGAGATTCCTGTTGCTTGACTTCTAAAATATCAGTGCAGATTCATTCGCAGAAAAATAATGAATATAACCAAGATAAAAATGCATATATTGTACAAAATGAAAAATGATGTAAAAATATATAAAATAAAAATAAAATAATGAATAGTGAAAGAAAAGGACAAGATCATAAAATTATAGAAAGAAAAATAGGTCACTTTAAATAGGAAGTAAAAGCAGATACCTAAAAATAAGTATTATCAATCCTTCGTTTTGATAGTTATTACTGATGATCACATACAATCTTATACTAACTACGAAAAATGTTTGCTTCATTCAAAAATGAGGATCAATATCAGCACCATATATTCTTTATATGCACTATTGCATTTAATCCTCGTAACAATCCTATGAGCTAGGGATCACTTATCAAAGGAGGAACCAAGAGAGGTTATTTCACTCTTCTAGGGTTATGCAATCATTAAGTGGCAGGGCTGGGCTTTGATCTTGGGTCTGATTCTATGGCTTATTTTTAACATTACTGTTTCTAAATGAATCAAAGTACACAGCTAAATGTCTTTAAATTCCAGGTGATTGCATTTATGAACCACACTTCATAATGATTCATAGTTTATTCCAATCTCTACTAACATTTATTATTTGTCAGGAGTGTCACCTACCATTCTCATTTGGTCTTCACAACAGTAATCCATTGTTATAAATGAAGAA